CTAGCTGCGCTTAAAGGAAGCATTACGCGAGAGCAGACATGCAAGATGGTAGTGGCTGGATAGATAAAGGTACTAAGGACTATTATTAGATGTATATAGCACCAGAAAGCCCAACCCTGATCAACCTTCTTCAGGAACATCCTATACAGAGTACAGGTACCCCTCTTCTTGTATTTTATTCCCGGTTACCCCTCTTCATTTTTGATCGTTCTATCCCTGCTGTGCAATACTGATCAATTGAACTTCCCATACCGATATCTACTTGCGTGCATGCATGTCCAACGGTAGAACGCTTATTCCACAGAAGTGAGAAGATGCAGAAGAAGAAGATGAAAAAGGAGGAACAATAAAAAAGAAGTAAAATAAGAGAAGATGAGAAAATATAAAAATGTCAAGCATCCCTGGCAGCTGTTAGAGAATCTTTACGTTCACGAAGGTATCGCCATGTTTCGCCTAGCAATTTACGACTTCGCTCGTACCAACTTCTCTCGGGCTGTTCTCTCCCTCCACGAACTCTCCTACACTCGTAACTCGTATATCGCACCAAGCTACAGGTGCTTTATGCTTTATGCTTTATCGTTTATCACCCATTCGCTGCTTGGGACATTGATGTATGTTATCGCCGAGTAAAAGAAAAGACTATGAGAATATAAAGCACAAGGCATTTTTAAGGAACAAGAAGAAGAAAGGATTTCAAGGTTAGCCTTACAGATCTCTAAAAGTGGATATTATCCCTAGGTACATTTAAAATCCTAAGAATGGATAAACTGGTAAAAGTAGCATAAAAGTCATTGCTGTCCTTATGCTTACAGACTGCAATGGCTGAACTCTCAAGGACTTGAAGGTTAATCCAGTCGTTGCTTGGTACTACTGGTGGTAGCAACAGCAGCAGCAACAGCAGCAGCAACTGCAGCAGCGCAGCAGTTATGGCGATGCTGATGGTATTGCTGCTTACTTTTTGGAATATCTTGAAGCCAGGGAGAAAATCGATGCTACCGTCGGCGCTCACCTACCGTGGCATAATCGCCATGCGGATTTCTGAAGCGTCTCAGGATCCAGCCTCTCGAGTTCACCTTCAGCCACTTTAATTGGCGAGTGCATTTGCGATTCTGGTTGCTTGCTCCCCCGCGTTTCATCCTTGATATGCACTGGTGCATCCCACGTAGAGCTCGATATTTTTGATATTTACATTATACGGATACTCTACGTCTTTTATTGCCTGTGGACCAAACCCCAGGCGAAATCTCTAACGAATCTTTTATTTACGGCAAACAATTGGAAGAAGTCGTGTGTAATATAACACTATTCTTCTATTAACCATTAATGGTAAAACACAGTAACAGAGAAAACACTACTAGAATAAGAGCTTTGAACAATTTGAGCGATAACGTATAATCAATGATATGCGGATGTACAATAAAAAGAATTTAATATAGATTAATGCCGTTTAAGACCAATTACTAAATTTCGCTAACGCACGCACCTTATGTATAAAAATATATTAACATAGAGAATCGTTGTGACAATTTTTTGTATTTACGTGATCGAGATAACCAGCCGTAGCCAGGAAGCTTCCAATATACAGCACCTCGTGTGTTTCCAGTATGCAATTTGCTTCTAATAAAAATCCAAGCCGAATAAAAGACTCCTACGTTGACCACGGGACAATGGCCCAAATACCTAAGAGAGTGATGGAAAAACAAATCTAATAAAATAACGTCCATATAAGCGATTTCTATATTTTTTACTATAAATACCTGCTGCTTCCGTATTCACTGCCTACAGGCAAATGGGAAGAGCAAGACTTTTCCCTTCGCGAAGCTACGAAAATTTACACTAAGTAGTCTTTTATTGCCTGTGGACCAAACCCTAGGCGAAATCTCTAACGAATCTTTTATTTACGGCAAACAATTGGAAGAAGTCGTGACTCTAAATTTTAATGAACGCTCGGAGTTTGTTATTGCCTTGTTAAACGGGTTGCCATTCGTCAGGCGTAATACCATTTCTTTTCTTCTCCTTTTTTTGCGATAACGTTGTTACTTACAGTGGTAACTTATAAATATTAAAAAGAACATTTCGTCATCGTTGCGACCTTCATAAGCCGTCTTTGCCATTCGGCAAATTTGCATCAAACTTCTTGGATGCTTTTTGCATACTGATATACATAATGTAGCATGTTTGAATTTTTATATCTCTTGTTTATATAAAATTTCGAATGCGACTTTTGCCTGGAGGAATTGAGGACAATCATGAGAGGACGGGACGGGACGGGAGGGGAGGGGAGGGAGCCTCGTGGAATTGCACAATGATAAGCGCCATAGAACGTTACAAGTGAAGCTCTTGCGTAACGTAGAAAGTTAGGTGGTCGCTTACGATCTTATACACTTACTAGCTTTACAAGCATCGAGTGGTCGCTGGGTTGTTCAGCTGAGTCCTTCAGTATTTGATTCCTCGAGTTCCCATTGACCA